ACTCCCCGCCTTCCTGCACCGAAATATACGGGACAGAAGCAGAAGGTGGTTCTTAAAGAGATAGAGGCCAATTTCAAGGTGTTTAGAAGAAAAAGTGATGAGAAGATAAGTTTATTTTCTATTTAAACATAAAAACAGCTTTTTAATAACAACTAAAGGTGATATACAGTAGATACTTTATTATGGTATTGTATTTAAATGCATGCCTGAGAAACACATAATATTGCCCCTTTAAAAGTATAACTTTTTTTAATTTGCTTTCAAGTTGAAGAAGATTTGTTCCTTACCAAGTGATTACGCAAATAAAGATGATAGAGAGGACGACGGTGCTGATCAGTGGGTCAGTCATAGCAGTATAGTACTTCAGCACTACGCCAAGATCCACCACAGCGTGCAGAAGAGACCACCAGGCAAACATGGCCAGTCCGTTTTGGGTCTGAAAAAAAAGGAAGTAGAAGCATTTAAAGCATAAAGTAATGATCACGCATTTCACAAAACTTACTAGAATTTTGCACAGTTTGTTTATGCTGTCTCATCACTTGAAACTGAAGATTATATTTTATCTCAAAGCCTCATTACCAGATAACGCGTCAGATGGATCACACTGGGGTTATTGATGGCCAGCCAGGCTTTGTGCTGGTGGAGGTTGGAGTAGGAGATATAAAGCATGCTGAAGCTGTAGACTGGTAAAATCCACTTAAACAACACAGCTACTAGTATGAAGCTGTAAAACAAACAGAGCAATAATCCACATGTGAATTTTTTTTCAGCAAGCGCTTTATCATGAGGAGCGCTGCACATAACCTACTGCTGGTCCCACAGAGGCACGCTGCATATTCTTGAAAAGTTAATGGTAGCCCACATCAGGTAGAATAAAGGAGGGTGGACTTCAGGGTTGCAACACTCAGGACCGAGTACATTCCTACATAAGGAACAACAGTARCATGGTCAGAGGCTTTGAAAAACCACACTTCATTTCTGCACCACAGATWCGACTACTGTACCTTTTAAAAATGCCCACCACTGCATAAACAAGCCAACACTTAGACCACAAGTCAATTATGATCCAGTAGTTCTCTGACCACCTGTCCATAGTCACCTCTATGGGGAAGGACTCCGATACATTTCTGGACGAGGTCAGAAACAGTCCTGAGGATGCAGGGAAAATATTGGTCAGGATATGTATTGCATATTATGAAAAATWAAAAAAAAACATCTAAATGTTTAAGTGAGCAGAAGTAGAGTAGATGAATGATCCTCCACTCATTCTTTGAGCAAACTTTGGCCATGCAAGGTGGCAGGCGATAGGCATTACTTCAAGAAATGCCAGCTAGATTAAGAAAAGGAAAAAGTTACATACTTTCATTTGATAGATTAATATACCCTGCTATGTCCTCAAAAATCTAATGTTCTTCCAAGAACTGTTGACTTTCATGCTGGAGTTTGAGACTAAGATCATCTTAAGTTGAAAAATGATGGAGTTGTGACTGTCAAACATTAAAAACAATGTTACACACAAACCTGTGGAAGATTTATTGGTCAGAGTTTGTGTTGGGAATGACAGCTACAGCTGCAAATGTTAGCTCAATGTCTGTAAAAGGGATTGAGTTACAGCATTTATGGGTTTCGTTCAGTCAGTCGCTTGAGTTAATCAGTTGTAGATGCACATCACAGCCATTGCTGTGTTTTTAGTCGATGAAGGCAGCCATCTTGAAGTGCGTCGATCCCAAAAGTTAAGCAGTTGTTAATGTAGATTCAGTAATTACTTTCTGCCAATTTTATCCATATGTGTCCATGGGTCATAAAATATTTTGGTAATGGACACTCTCCGTCTTCACTTTTTGTTGTACAATTTTAAATAAACCATTGCTTTTTAGAATAAGAAGTATTTCAAGTACAGTTAAACTTTAAAACATTCATGTTTATTTAATTGCATTACTTTAACATTGTAACTTTTTGCTCCCCAAAACTCTGAATCCAAATTCTGTATTTGAAATGCTGTAAATCGAGTTACTCACCATTGGGCACGTTGCCTTCCATTGTCAGAACATAAAAAACTTCTGCAATAATCTGGGTGATAATTGCAAGAAAGATGCTTCCGGCATATATCACCATATAGCAAGTGCTATTWGTTGAAAAGAAAGCCATGGTGAAAGTTGAGGTGACGTTCAGAGCAACTACAGCCTGGGAGCTCTGTGAGACACTGTGACTGTAATCTTGTACATTGGACTTTGTATTTGTCTTGCTCAGGTTTATGATTCAACTTTAATCACATCTGTAATGATATGAAACACTTTTAAATATTTCTGTTTCCTTATGTGAGAAAGGCAGTTCATCCAAATTCTGGAAACCTGAAAGACCGAAAACGATTTTGTCTGTTCATCTTATGAGCTCCATGTCAAGTTTTGCTTTAGAGTTTTATTGTGAAAATCCACTGTTTTTAGAGTGACCGCCAGTGTTTGTTTTGGACTATTTTATTATTAAAAAAAACGTTCAGTAGATTGTGCAGTGCAACCTTGTAGTTTTTAGATAAAATTCCCAACAAATGAATTCAAATACGTCACTCACTGACGTTTTTTTCATTTTTCTAAAAACCAACACAAGCTGTTTTTTATATTTTTTTATTAAACTTTCTTCAAATACATAAAAACATCTTCAAAGATTTGACTGAAAAACACAACTATGCACATATATTTTTTACTTTTACTAAGCAATCATAGAAAAATATTACTTTGTGTCAAAGATATTTCCACTGGTGACAAACTGAGTTCACTGTCACTGTAAAGCGGCTGTTTGTAGTGCCTCCATGTCACCAGGACTAGGCGTGCTACAAACAGAATGCAGGAAGTCCCCAGGATCGAAGCTGCTGAGAGAAAAAGAGATGTGATCAAAGTTTCACAAAAAAAAGGTATTAAGAATGCAAAAGTCAAGCAGTATACCTGCAAAAATGAACATATGACTTTCAGGAGAGCCAGAGTTGCTCAGGACGCCCGACAACCACAGAATTACTACAGGGTAGATGGTCACGATGTAACGCACCTGCTTGTCAAGGTAGAAGTTCTCCAACAGAAACCTAAGAGCAGCAGGAAACAAAAGACTGTTTTCTCTCAGCTCCTGTCTTGTGACAAAGAAAACCAACAGAGACGTGACATGAACCAGCGGGGGATTGTGGTGGGGGAATCAGACTCACCAGACTAACAGCTCCATCAGGAGCAGCAGCATTGACAACATGGCACAGTTGCATCTCGGTGTTTCTGTCTGATGTTGCATGAAGATTGTCAGGTTCAGCAAGGTGGAGAGAGTCCCCCACGTAGCATAAACTGCTACTCCATTCTGCACCTGATTCGCCACAATAACAGAGACTGTCAAGACATGAGCTGTGATGGATGTGACATGCATTATGGGTGCTTCAACTGTTGCAGACATCTGGAAGTGGCATCACTGTAGCTATGTTAGGAGTYGTTGTTTATTGCAAAGAACAAGAGCCATTTAGAAGAATCACTTGTGAAATTATGTACTTTATGCAAATTCTAACCTATTTATTCACAGCCATAACATCCATTACTTTAAATTTGCCATCTGTTATGAATGGGGCACCAACTGTCAACTAAAACATTAAAAAATGTCACTAACACTCTTTTTCTGCTTGGCCTTCAGAGGAGTCAGACGCAATTGACACTATTTTTTCCGCATTGAGATTGTAACGAGGGGAACAAAGCTGTCCCAGTGGAATGGTTGCTGCTGGTCGGGTCAGTGGTTCGTGGGGCTGGAACCTGATCTGTTTGGTGCTGATTTCCATCGAAGATGTGGAAGATTTGTACATATTTGGATTTATGATAGCTGGATTTCTGCTGATTGGCAGAGGTGTAATTCTGGCTTATCAGAAAATGAAAGTGTTCCTGACAGTGGTCCGGGCCTGTGAAAAGCTGTCAGGAACCATGGATGGAATCTCCCGCACTGGTAACGCACAGACTCAAATGATGGGGGAAATAAGTCGCAAACTGGATGTAATTCTGATGAGAATTGCTGCTCAGCAGCATACCCACGAGATTTAGGACTACACCTGGGTGAAGTTTCAGACAAAACGAGGCAAGGAGGTGATGAGATTTGGAACACTCTGCGTTGTTGTTTTTTTCACCATTTCAGAGATGCAGTTAAGACTGTAAAGCGGCAAGAAATTCGAGATCGCTTTTCCCAAAACATTTGTGTTTATCTTTCGGATCCCAGCAGCTGCTGGCCTTGGTCAGTCGGCAGTTATCAAAACTTCTCGGGATGGATATGTCAACAAAGGCTTGATTCTCCCACTCCCTATCCCCGTATCATCCATGTGAATCAGTCTGAAGGCTGTGGTGATGGAGAAAGGGGAAACCCTGAATTCTGGGACTGAGCTTGGGAGGAAAGATCTGGTCTCTGGACTCTGGTGGGTCCTGGTCTTGGATTGGTTCCAGCATGGAGTATTAACCTAAAACATCACCCGCTCCACTGAATCCCGCCCCCGTACCATGTGTTTGATCCCCAGCCCCCTCCCCTCCTTAGCTGTCTTGCTTTTGCGAGTCGTTTTTTGTGCACATGATTCTGAGTTTATGAGTAAATATAGGATCAGAACAACCTTTTAACTCATTTATCCCATTGTGTGTTTCATTTTCCAAGCTGCAAAAGGCAGCATAACCGTGTCACACAAGACCTGTCCATCCGTTCCCACGTTTGTTATGTGTGTCTTTCTTCGAATGTGTGTTCTTAACTGCAATTTCGTTCTGCATTGCATCTTTGATGTTGTGTGTGAATGACAATAAAGCTGAATCTGATTCTGATTTATTATTTAACTTACTTTCTAAGTGTAAAATCCTACATAAAATTTTTCAACTAAGATTTTATTATTTAGCTCACTGTTCTTACATTTAGTTAATATCTACTTAAGGTTCAATTTAAATGTTAAATTATATAACTCCTGGATCTAAAATTCCATCCATTATCTATAACTGTCCTTCCTTTCAGGGTCATGGGGGTCACTGGTGCTCATATCCAGCAGTCACAGTGCAAGTGACGGGGTACACCCTGGACAGGTTACAAGTCCATCACAGGGCCACACATAGAAACAAACAAGCATTCACTCACACGCTCACCTGGGGACAATTAGTTACCAGTTACGCTAACAGTCATGTTTTTGGTCTGTGGGAGGAAGCCGGAGTGCCCGGGGAGAACACGCACATGCATGGAGAGCTTGTGCTTTTTCTGTGGCAGCTCCCAAACTAATGAATGACCTTCCTTTGGACACGAGACAGGCCTCTTCTCTTGTTGTTTTTAAATCACTTCTTAAGACTCATCTTTTTTTCACAATCGGGGATGTTTGACTTTGTTTTATTGTGTTTTTTTTATTTGTGTTTCATTTGATTACTACTTTTTATTTTTTTATTTTATGATTGCATTGTATTTTGTGACTGCGTGCAGCACTTAGTGCTGTCGGTGTTTAAAGTGCTTTACAAATAAAGTTGGTATGGTATGGTATGGTATGGTATGGTATGGTATGGTATGGTATGGTATGGTATGGTAT